GTGTGTGTGTGTGTATCTAAGACTATATCTATCCATCTATCTATAACCCTGGTTGTGAGCTGAGCCCTCCTGCTCCCTGGAGCTGTGCAGTTCACCTCAGCTCATCAGTTGACCAATGAACTGCAACAGCAGCCTCTATCTTCTCAGACAGAGAAAGAGAGAGAGCAAGAGACAAGGAGGCCACAATAAAGACAGCTGGAGGCAGAAGAAAAAGTTGCAGAGGTGAGACAGATGCATGACAGAAAGTGGCTACAGAGGGACAGATAGAGAAAGAGAGGTAACGAGAGATCAGAAGGAATTACTGGGCAAAATTAGTTAAGGGTAGAAAATTAGGACAGAACAAAAAAAGGAGTAATGAGTGTAAAGAAATTAGATAAAAGGGTTAAATGTGAGTCAACCGCCTTAAAAATGTTGAGGAAAATGGAAATAAATGAAAACTCAATGAAACTCAAAGAAATTGGAGTACAATGGCATTAACATGGGAACATACCCACACATGTGTATACAATATGTAAAATATAACATACGCGTCATGTCAGTGAAGGAGACAGGAGGTCCCTCCATTTCCTGCATCTGGGTGTGAATGCTGATCTGGTATTGGCTGCCCGGAGTAAGGTCATAGAAGCACTGTCGAGAAGCTCCACCTCCCAGGCTCACTTCCTGCTTCTGACCATCTGCAAGTGAACAACGAAACAAAAAATGACTTACCATGACTGAACAGTAATAAAATCCAAACAAGCCTAAATCCCTCTAAAGCTCCTGTTTCAAATTAACTGTGTTTACAAAGCATGTTTTCTATTTTTTCAGCCTTGTTCTGCATCAAATTCAAGCCTAGGAGCTGCTAAGTATGATCACTCTCTTTCAGAGTTGGATACTCAGCAGCTTTATTTGAGCAGTCAGGTAGCAAAGTGCCTTGCTCAAGGGCACATTAAAGGTTAGCTTGTGAAGCACAGAAGCAGCATTCAGGCTCCACCCTTTCACACATTTTCAGACACTCTGGAGATTTAAAGTCAATGTGAAAATCTGGCCTTCAACTGAATACACTTTTGAGCAACATGTAAATAGATTAACCTTAATATCAGTAATAATAATAATAATAATATTAATATATGGTAACAGAAGGTATGATTTAGGGCAAATATAAGCATTCATTTTCAGCTCACCTTGGTGAAGCCAAGCTTACTGCACCATAAACTATGGTGGCTAGATTGCAGTTAAGATCACTGTGGGAAAACATTGTAATATGCACTAAAAAATGAAAATAATTGATTATTGAGTTCTTTCTTCTTCTTTTGTCAATTTATTTTGTATTGCAGACTACAAACACGTATGATTTAGTGTGTATTTTGAAAGGAGAAAATGAATGAGAATTTTTGTTGGAACCCCAAAAGGAACGAACGGGACGAACACTTGCTCTAATAGCTGTCATTTGTCAGTTTCATTAGTCTAATTCTATTTCCTAATGTGCCTCTCATCTCGGAGAGTGACAAATTAGCTCCTCCTCCTCACAGGAAACAGCCATAGATAATAAAGTTTAGGAAAACAGCTGTCACCGAGAGGCTGCACTTTTCCATCTGAGAAGGTGTTTAAGCAGCTGGTTGGGTCTGTGTGGATTAAACCAAATCTCAAAACTCCAGCAAGAATATCCAGTCCCTGCTCAGCCAGGAAGGAGGGAGCGACAGAGATAAATAGAAAAGTGTGGGAGGGAAGGGAGACACCCCCCCCCCTCTCTTTATGCTGTCTGTTTTATGACAGTATACACATCACTTACTGTGCATTTTTCTTTCAAGAAGTTGTATTCCTGTCTCTTATATCTACATTTAGCAGCCAACACTTACTAAAAACAACTAATCTAAGACACAAACCTCCCAGCATCTATTGAAACCCTGTCACAAAAATACATTAACGTCTGCATTCAGTTCTGGTGTGGCACTACCATTGCCCTGATACTGTGCATTATATGAGTACAGCACGATAGTGGTATCAATCTTCTCAGAGAGAACAAAGAAGCCTATTTTGTAAATACTATTTGTAGTTTAAATAGTCTCTTTTCAGAAGTTACTCTAATTGGTGAGAAACCCAGAGGATTACAAGAACGCTCTTTTACTGTGAGATGGCCTAGAGTTGGTTATTTTAACCACAGTGTGTGCAACTTTTAAACTTGCACATTAATAAGTGCATTGCATAACATTTTATTGTGCAACACAAAAAATAGGGCCAAACCATCTTTCTACCACATTATCTTGTTTTTTTCCCCAGAGCTGTCTCTGAAAGGATTTCCAACTAAACCAACACAGTGGTCTCACTGAAATGAACAAGGGAGGCCAACATTTTCTGCCACAAACCTATCACTGTGAGGACCTAAACACTAATGCACATTGTACAACATTTAATATCAACTTACAGCAGAGGACTTACATCCTTTAACCATGCTTCTTGTCAAATTACCATAAGTGAAAACCCATCGCCCCTGCATCTGGATCTGCTTCCTATGTGACCTTTTAACACATGCTGACATTTCAAAAATAAACTTAGACAAAGGTGTTCTCATGAACAGATGAATAATGAAAAGAATGACGAGAAATCCAAGTGTTAAAAGGTTCGTACATCAACTAAAACCCTGCTTTGTTAGACAACCAGGAATCTACATGGTATCTGCTACAAACATAGTGAAGAACCCCTATTAAGAATAACGTGTATATTTTGCTAAAAAAAACAACAACAAGAATGCTGTCATTGTTTCAACTGTGTTTTTTACTGTAGACTTTTTATATGGACCTGTGCTGCACAACCAAGTGCCCTCTGAGGGCAAATAAAAATAAAACTTGAACTTGAAGTTGTTCACTGTGAGTGGACCAGCTCCAAAATACTCTCCTGTCGACAGGACAAGCTGTACAGTGGTTTTATTAAGGGGTTCATATTTAACACTGACACTTTCAATTCAATGGGAAAGTAAAAGGATTTTTTTGTTGTTGATTTTGATTAAAATTGATTTTGGTAGATATTTTTGCTAGTTTCTTTTCTTTTTTAAAGACCTCTTCCCATTGCTCCCTCCTTCTTTTCCTCCTCAGTTTTATTAACTGAGTGTCCTGTGCATTCAACAGCTTCTTAAGGTCATACTCTGTGCCTTAATTCATTTTATTTCTGATGTGATGACATGAGCAATTCTCTAAGCACTTTCCTCCCATGTTGTTTATTGAGGAAAGATCGTACATATATTATATCTCCATTCCTTTCTGCAAACAGGGAGATTTATGAATCTCCTTTACAATGTAAATCACTGCCAAATGCGAAAATGACAGAAAGATACAACACTTATTTCCTCAGAGGCTCATATCAGTATGAATCCAGATGACTATGAAAGGTATATGTAACCGACACACGTGTAACCATCACACACACTCCTACTGGGAGAGTCCTGAGCTGACTCGTCTTTGTGTTAATAATAAGCAGAGGAGACACTGTCACAAGGACAGACTGTAAATCTATAAGGAAACATATTCAGACAAGTTCAATCTAGCCACCTCACCAAACATCACAACTCTAGTAAAACTTTTGATTTACTGACTGAATTGTATTCCAGTCACTTAGCTGGCAGAAGTCTTGTTTCTCACAATGTGGGGCGCTGAAACGTGTTGGGACGACTGAGGGTGCACGCCGAAATGTTGGTGAGGACAGATAACTTTTGACCCTGTGTCCGTGCATGTGTCGTAGAACTATTTTGTTGGAATTATATTTTTGACTGCAGTTGCAAATGTGCGATTCAGACCACATTTCAGCATGATAATAAAGTTAGACTTAATTTGAATTCAGAACAAATAAGTCAGTCCAGTTACTGCTTGCAGTGAGCTGCTTGTCTGGTGTCAAAAGCAAAACTAATGAAAGCACTAAATTGAGGAATTAACTCACTTTTTCACCACCTCTGAGAACAGAGATGAGGACTGTCCCACACTCATACACACGGATAAATACATACCCGAACACTGTGATACACTCTCATTAACAGTAAATGTACTTACTGAGTGGAGACTGTATGGAGACTCTGTATAATGTGGCATGTAGAAGAGGCTGCCATTGGACACACATGCTGTTGGGGCGCACCTGGTAGGTTGACAATCCAGAGACACCAAGGAACACTGGAGATAAAGGAGATAGACAGATAGTAAAATGACAGAAAGATCAATTTAGAATTTATTTTTTTATCTGTTTTCACTTAAGACACAAAAAAATGTGTCTGATCATTAGAAATTACTGTACTGTAAGTTTAGTAACCATAAACGTGTCCTCTTTCCTTACTGTCTGTCACTTGTCTGGTAAGTCTCCAACTGGGAGAGACTCCTACCCACCCACAAAGCGCTGTGACTGGATTTGCTCCAGCTATGGACCATGTGGGCTACTAAGTCTGCACCAGACTGTATTCATTAAGGATACTTTGCATCTTATTCGTGGTGCTGCCAAATCTCTCTTAGTTGAATTGGGATTAATTTTGCAGAGACATAATATGAAGTAAACTACTTGAACAGAAGAGTAAAATAGCTATTCTTCACATCATGCACTGACAGACAATAGAGTGAAAAGTAAAACTCTCTAAGGGAGCAGTCAGCATTAAGATTGGGTTTAGGTTGAAGTGGCACCTGAACATCTCTTTTTTGGTCTCCTGATAGCTGAACAATGAACAGTGTACCACCCATATAAAGTGTTAATGGTGCAAACATATCTACACTGACAGTTCCAGTTACAATCAAATCAAATCAGTTGGATAGATGTTAGAACAAATCATAATGTAACACAATTAGTCAGGCTTGGTGTTTAACTGTCCTGTGGAGAAACAATGAGGCATGATGCAGCAAAATGCAAAACACCAAGAGCAATTTAAATATCAGAAGCTTGTTTGGTAGTGAGATTTCAGTGTACCATAGGCAAGCAAACCTCCCAGGAGACACTCGCTCTTCATTTTCTCTCTCTCTCTCCCTCTCTTGCTCGTTCTTGTTAAGAGAATTTGCTGATGGTATAAAATAAACTTGGCTCTTGAGCCAGTAAATGGATATTTTATGCTGGGACCATATGGCAGGTGCCTTATTTTAAATAGTAGTGAATAATGCATATGACAACCCATCATTCCATTCAATAATATGCAAAGATACACACAAATTCACTCTCATACACACAGACATGCAAAATGCAAACTAGCACAGATATACATAACTTTATTTTCTGTTTTTAGGGACGTTTGAGGCACAACTGCCCCCACTTTTTGTCTGCAGCAGTAATCAGCACAAGAACACACCAAAAGTGTTTTGGTGAGGAAGAGTAAACTGCTTCTTCCAAGTATACCAGGCTTAAGTAGAATTATGCAAAGCCAAGTTTAAACATGGTCGGAAAAAAAAGACATGGTCAACAAAACAAAAAAAAACAAGACAAAACAAGGACAAAGCGAGATAAAAGATTGAGAGATGGGGAAAGTAAAAGACAAAAAGTTCAAAACGAAAATGGAACTAAAGATGCGGTGGCCATTTTAATTATGCAAAGGTCAAAATAAAATAGCACTGTGGATAGAAACCACAGTGGACCATGTGGAGAAAATACCTGAAAGTATGTGTGTGTGAGAGCTGAGGTTGCCAGACTTGAAGGCAAATATTTGCACCCATCTGCCTCCCCAACCTCCTCACCCTCAGTTACTTTCCACTACACTATTTCCTCTTTCTACTTCTGTCTGTTTCTCATCATGTAATTCTTTCTCATTCAAACTTCTCTTGCTTTCTGTGAAAAAAAAACATGTTATTTCCATTTTTACGACATTGTGCTAATTCTACAAAATTTCTCGAGACCAGATTGAGTGAGCACCCTTCAGTGGTCCCGGCGAAAACTAATTTTTACTGTGCAGCTGAAGTGCCAGCACCTCAATACAAACTACATAAAACTTCATTTGGGGGAAACAGTTTCATTTCATTCAATGGTCCTCAAGGTACCAATAATTACTTTTTTATGCTACATGCTAGTATGTGTAATTTATTGGTGCAAACATGCCAGCTGGCTCCCATGGTAAGGCTGCAATGAATGCAGTGTACCCAGGGAAATATGTTACTGTATCTCCCTTATTAGAATGACAAATGACTGAACGTAACCCCCTTAATAAATCAGAGTTCCTCCAGTGTAGAATACCAATATGGACAATGAGTTTAACTATGCCCTGTGTAATATAGGAAAATTTGATACATCTAAAAATGTATCAGTGCACTGTGAATTGTCTGCGTCTGATTCTGCTGAAAATTTAGTGAGGAGTCATTTTGTAGGTCCCCTGGCAACATGCATAAAATGTGACATATAATATGCACAAATAAGACAAAAATTTTATTATAGATACATT